GAAACACTTTGGCCTAGAGATGCCTCCAATTCAATGAGAGCACCTGGGTCCATCCTGTTTCAAGATGGTGTACTGTCTAGCAAAAGTAAGCTAACAGGCTCTGGACAAAACACTATAATATTACATTGCTACTTGTATTAACAGTACAAGAACAGTGACAAATAATTTGAATGCTTTGGGCACGTCCAGAGAAGCAGGAACGTGTGTTTGCCCAGGGACGAGTAGCAGTGGCACAACTTGTGCCTCTGCTTGTCCCCAGAGAACGTCCATGCCACATGTGCTCTGGCATGCAGCAGGTTACCCTGGGTGGGGTAGGGGAGGCTGAGGCCAGCAACTGTGCTGGCCCCACCAGCCTTTCTTGGGATCCTGGGGGCCTCCGGGAACTGCAGCCACAGTGCTCCTGCAGCAGGAATCCTGGCTGGCAGCCAGTGTGGCTCTGGCTGGCTAGACTCCGGTTTTGGGCAGCCCATGCTGCTGCCACGTACACTGCCATTTGGTTTTTTTCCATAGGCTTTTTTGATCCCAGGAGATCCTGGGGTCACCCCCCCTAGCAAAGTAGCAGCATGGGGAATGCCTGCATGTGCAGTATGTGGTGCTACAGATGGTTCTATGGTGCCACATCCCTCACATCCACACTTATCTGGATGAGCCCTTTTTGTCTGAGCATTGCTACATCAAAAGGATGAAACTCAAAGCTGGCACCTAACACATTCTTTCATCCTGCAACACAGTGGGGTGATTATACAGCTACAAGGATTTTATCCCATATAAACTTTGTTAAAGTTACCAATAGCTGTACAACCAAATACATGAATGTATACCCATTAGCCTCCTCCTTTAATGAGGGCTTCTGGCCCCATATTAAAAAAAAAAAAGTTATCTGTATGGCTCATCTGGCTCATTAGAGAGAGTCCACTATAATGAGATTGCTGAAATACAGATTATTGTGACCTTTTTTTGGAGATCTCCAGCATAACATATTGCTTGCAGTAGTACTTTGAAACTACATAAGGGAAAGGCTTTGAATTAAAGAAGTTTTGTGCCAATGAATGCATTCAGGTTTTAGTTATTCCAAATTGGTATTTCCTTCCTCTTGCTTTCATTGTCTAGACAAAAAAACCAAAAAGAAAACAACGAAGGTTGTAAGTTCATTCATTCAAAAGTTAGGAGAATCCTGATTTACTGGTGCAGAACCTAGTTATATAAGAGACAGATGAACAAGAGGGCAGAATTAAAATGTCAGTGGAACAGATACTGACATACGAGATGGTCCAATAGACCAACCCCTCTCCCACTGACTGCACAGCATGCCCCCTGTAAGTAATGCAATTACTTACATGGGGAAATTGTTCTGGCACTCGTAGCTAGCATACTTTGACCACTTAGTTCTCTACAGTCCAGCTGAGGACCGTAACACAAGAACCACTGCTAATTTCAGCTATTGTGCTGATGACCTACATTCTACATTGTTCATCTCTAAAAAGACCTTAGGGAAACAGATCTACTGGCACCAACTTAAGTTTTTGCCAAAATGGAGGTAGTTAAGTTTACCCTAAATGAGACAGACTATTTTTTTTCGCAAGGTTCCCTTTGAAAATGCCTTTCTTTAACATTTTAAATATTAGTTGTTTTAAAAGACAACTTATGCATCTTTAGTGTCTTGTTGTCATCTTGACTTTATAAAAAGAGGAGCTGTTTAGAAAACATTGTGATTGTACACAAAGTAGAGAAATATGCTACCCCAGAATGAAGGCACTTTCCTCTTTGAATTTAATTTAATTTAGAAATCAATTATGTTTTGCAGTCACAGAGGTAAGCAGGTCAAGGAATTGCCATCAGGATCCTATTCATTTGGTTTTGAGATTAAGGCATACAGGAAACCTGAATCTAAGAAATGTGTTTGTTAACATGTCAGCCGAAACGTTTCCAGGAAGCCCTCTCTCTAGTCGCTGTCACCAATAACATTTCCCTCTTAGACCCTACCAACAATGTGTGGGTCCTGGTTTATCACAGCTAGACCTCATTGGCCAGCTGGAAAAAGGGGAGATTATCAAGCCTCCAAGCATTTCAGTTGATCAAGGTAAAAGAACCTGCAGAAATGTCATCCATTTGAATTATTGAAAAAAAAAAAAAAAAAACCCAAGCAGAATATCACTTTTATAAAGAAGCCTAGTTTGCCTTCTGATCAAGCCTAAACATATTCCAGTCATTCTAAAAGCTTGTTCCTGTAGATCAGCCCATAAATATAGGCAGGCAATGAATCTGCCACAAGGTGTCACCAAAATTCTATTATGTGCATTGTGAACAGTCCAGATTTATCCATCAATCTTTGGATCCCCTAACAAGTACTGGAGGCAGGATGATTCTTGTACAGCTGTTATCCCCACTATACACCAGACTTATTTGCTGTAGTGCCAATGGCTGAAATTGGGGGATGGGCAGGGCAGGAGAAGGGGGAAATGTTCTTTGGTAACGTTTATCCTAAAACTCCACGATTCACAACTAGAAAATGGAAGTATATTGCCATCAACATGCACAGTGATCTAATTTAATAGCAATTAAGCTCAGATAATAACAGACAAACGCAGATCGATAACAAATTACTCTTACAATCTTAGCTTAACAATTTTTTAACAACGGGTATTTTGTATAAGAAACCATCATTCAGTGGGCTGCTGCCTCCCTTGTTTTATGATGTGGTGTGGCAAAAATGATTATGGTGAAGCCTGTGTGTTTTCAGCTTCCCTCCTCTTGTTCTTGTTTTTTTCCTACAAAGAGATATATCACCTAAATAACAAATGTGCCTCAATCAGAGACTATACTGTACCGTCCCAGGCAGATGGGTGAGCCATGGAACTTTTCTATTTCTTGCTATGATCCTAGTACCAGTCTGTAAACTGTCATCTCCCTTGCAAATCCGTCATCAGTGTATATGGTTCAGTCCAGCCATGTTTTGTGTAGCTATAAGGCAATAAAAATTGTTCAATAAATTTGGAGCATTTGGCATCAGCTTTGAATAAAGACATTAATTTGATGAAGTCAGACTGAGGTGCAGACGGTATGTTGTCTCTCCCACAATACTTCCACACCCCTAGAACTTCAGTTTAGCCACCTTCCAGTGATACAGTCTCTTGAACATTGAAGAGTACAGAACACGAACTGCTGGTGTCCTGGATTCCGATTTTATTTCTCTGTGTATGGAAGGCCCTATCTTCCTTTCTCTAGTTACAGTTTGATCATCCTTCAAGGTATTTTCTCTCAAGCAAGCAAAGCAACAATTTATATATTCCACATATGCCATCAGGGATGGGAATAGGAGGTAGGAGAGGCTCTAAGTTGTATGGTGGTAGTATATTAAGAGTGGGAAGCAGTACCAGCGAATTTGGTCAACCTTTTTATAAACTGAACTTAATGGAAACTGGGGTAGGGAAAAGTCAACATCTGAAAAACAGGACAGATGCACCTAGGCCCTGTCTATATGTGCAGGTAAGGGTATGAGGGGATCTAATGCACGATTCATGCAATCACGTCTCCTGCCATGCCACATTGTGCATTAGATCCTATCAAGCCTTATTGCCTGTTCAGGAGGAGCCTGATCATGGACACCCCCTGCACCTGCAAATAGCAAGCTCCTTCAGCATGGGAGCCCCATGCTTCCCAGCTGAGGGGCTCCCAAGTACAGGGGCGCTTCACACACGCCTGGGGCAGGGAGATGGTCACAGGGGAGATCTTCCTGCCCCTAGGTCCAGAGTAGGGGGAATTGCCATGAGGTCCACTGCAGGGACCCAGCATCCACAGCTGCTTAGATTTGCAGTCCTAGCTGGGTAAGATGCATCCCTGCAACTGGGGGCCCTGTCAGTTGATGGGGCTCCAAACCACAGGAAAGACCCCGGTACACTTACAAATTCAAGCTAGATAGCAACCAGCTATCAAGTCAGTACACACTTTCAAGGTCTAACTTTATAGCTGGTTGGAGCTTTTTACTGTGCAATAACTACCTTGCATATGTAGATGGTCTCAAGGTAATTGTGCAATTAATCAGGTAAGCATGCCATACCTGCAACATGTAGAGTGGGCCCTCATCTTGCAACAACTACTTTTCTTATCCATGTAAATATCTCACAAATTCTTGAAACTTATCAAAAGTTGATTCATGAGCACATATGTAGTTCATGTCAACTATACATAAGTTACCGTGAAGGAAACTATCCAACAAAGCAAATTTTTTCGCCGTTTTGAAGGGACAGTGTTTCACTTTGTCATTTCATTTTGTTTCAAAGCACTATTCCATTTCATTTTGTCAGAACTGTTTAGCTGTTTTGACATTTCACTCATAGGGTATAATGAGGAATCATGAAAATGCCAATAATTTTGTCATTTCTTGCCCTATTGCAGAGACGGTAGCCCCTTCAGAGGGCAAGAAGTCAGCCAAGTTACAAGGAGATAGGTGTAGGGGTTGGTTTATGGGAAACTGCACCTCAAGCCATTCAAAGCAAAACTCATATCACTTACTGGCAGTGGCAGCCTGCTGTCATCCTGCGTGCAGATCTGGGGGCCTGCCCCCCCCCCCAGGAAGGTTGCAAGGCTTTGCCAGACTCCTCCCAGGGGGCAGAATGGCAGCAGGCCAAAACGTATCAAGTGATTAAGGAGAGTTCTACATGGGCTATACAAAAGCTGCTTTATCAGAAATTGAATCATTTCTGTCTGGATCCCTAAGTTCTTCTAATCTCTCTTCATGTTCTATGAAATCTGTGTAGGCAAGTCCAGAAAGTACACATGACCATTAACTATGCTATAAAGTAGGTGTCTCAGTTATTTTTAAGACACAGAAATTTACATGAATTATGCCACTTTCAAAATTGAAGTCACATTTATAAATTAAACACATTTAGAAACAGTTATGAAGCCAGAAAAAGTGCACTTCTGCCAAAAAGAAGAAATTTACTTAAATAACTATTCAAAGAGTTTGCAACTCCACATAATTTGGAAAAAACCACCCGTTTAATTTTTTGGCTTGAAAGCTAATTCTTCTTTATTTCAAAAGAGAAAGCTATAAGGCATATCAACACTTTTACCCAACATCCAATGGATACGATTCCCAATGAACCTTGATTTAGCTATGCATACAATGAAACTGCTCCATAGGAATTTAGGAAGTTGAGCTGTTTATATTTGTCATAAATTAGTAACCAATAAATCCTGAATTTCTCTGCAGTCCAGCAGAAGACATTTTAAAATACTGCCCTTTACTCAAATATTTCTTGCAACATTTCTTTTTTGTTAAGGGGACAAAACATTAAATTCCTTGTTTGCAAAAGAATTCTAGAAGTTTTTGGATGCTGTGTATTCTTTCATTGCAATTACTCTTGGCAGGGATATCACAAACCTACCTGGAGAAAGCTCCACTTCAGTTTCCAATTTCCTTCTATTACAAAAATGGATTTATATCCAGTGTATTGAAGCAACTCTAACTGAATACAATTCTTGAATTTATGGAATTCAATATGGAACAATATGGAAAAATCATCACTTAAAGTAGTACATTAACCTCTGCTGTAAACTACTATACAAAGTAATAATAAATTACAGTATCAAAGCATTTGCTTCACATGAAGATGCAGCAAGTAACTCAATTGCTAAGAGTCAGCGCTGGAAAGGGATGAATTTGCAGCCTTTTTGGGAGGGAAGAGAGGAGATGAAGGGGTTAATGCTGCAATGAATTAAATGCTATTGAAAACTGTAAAATAAGTGGCAACACTGAAAACTTTTGATTCAAAATAAGAAAAGCTTTGACAAGACCACTGCCAGTTTCCCACATCACCCATTATGGTATTTATATCTTTTAGAAGACAGTAATCCTCCATAACTATCTGACTACTCCACAGCCTGCCAACATGACTACTGATTTTGTTAGGTAGTTACTGGCACAGTAAGAAATTAGACCCAGAATTCCAGTTCATTTTGGGCAGCCACGCAATGGCAATATTTTTCAGTTACCATCTTAGTACAACTTGAACTGGTTGCCTGGGGAAAATCTCCATGTGCTACTACTAGTCCCTGAGCCATCCAGTACAAATATGCCACAACTCTAGATCCCAATTTTGCCATGCATTTTGTAAGTGGGAGACAGAGAAGGGGAAAACGAACAAACAAATAAAAAATTACTTGAACCTGAAGTAACTCTTTGAATGTGTTTTAGTATACAAAGCGAGTACCCAAACACAGTAGGGAATCTCATAGTGTATTTTCCTCAGTACTTTGGCTTGTCATCCACTTAGCAATTCTGACTCAAGAAAGAGAAACTCTTTGCATGTGTAAGTATGCACTAAACAAGCACTGTATTCTTTGTTCAAACAATCCTTTCTTTCCCAGTTCTGTAAGTACACTGCTCAGAATTTATAAGTTTCAATCAAATGCAGTTCTTTTCCATCATACAGTTCCTGTAGTTGGTTAGACTCAAACTTTATGGAAGGCTTTTGAATTTGTGTCCCAGGCTCCAGGGCATTCTGTCCAAAGATTTTAAGATTCACAAATTTTATTTTCCAAGTATTTTCTCTAACTGGGCAACTGATGAGTCCAAAGATTTGTTCAAAGACACCCAAACATATATTGCCTCTGTGCACTGTGCCAGCAACTGCCACTACTACTAGCCCATGAGGAGACTTTGCACATTTCAGTCCACCAGCATCAAAGTTAGGATTCAACAAGAGATATTCTTCTTTCACCAATGAGAGTAAACGAAGGCTGACTAGTTCTGCACCATTATATTCTTCTGTGCTTTGTTCTAATGTATTGTAATAGAATTTCAGCTTGGCATCCTCCCAGAAATGCTGTGGGCCCCAACTTTCTTTTGGTTGTCCCCCGAAAGGATGCTGAGCGTTCAAAAGGTCGAAGAACCACTGGCAGAATTCTTCACCCAGACTTTGCAAGTCATCTTCCTCTTGCTTTTGTCTCTGCCCATCGATCTGCAATCAAGCAAAACATTTTTTAGACACAGCAAGATTTTATGTTAATGTACACAGTTCAGTTTTATACAGCTCAAGATAGTTTTGTGAACTAAAAATGGTTTCCTGTTCAACACTTTCCTGAAATATTCCCAAATCAAAAAGCTTAAGAAAAAAAGAAGTGAATCTCACCCCAAACTCACTAATTCAACAGTGACTTCAAGATTCACCACACCTGCTTGCAGCCTGTGCAAGACACCCAAGCAACCAAAACTATTGCTACACAGGTATCAAGCCAATGGTACAGCTCACACCTTTGTTGTTTGTTGTATAAAAGAGGTACCATTATATACGGTCATGGATTCTGAATTTCCCCTCACACCATGAGTTACTCTTACAGGATAAGGCTGAGACACACTGAGGAGATGGGAAAGGAAATGTTGCACAGCTATTTGTAGGGCTGTGCACGCACCTGCTCCAAAGCTAAAGAATACTTCAGGGTCCAAGACTGTTGTTACAGGACCCTTTCACCAGCACTAAATCTGTGGGGAAAAATATTTTAAAACAATCGTCAGACATTTGCACTTCCTGCCATCAACTATAAAATAGTCTGAAAGGCTAGAACAGCTCCTTGCACAAAAGGAGTTAGACCTGTTTAAAATCTCAAGACAGCAGAGACAAACAAAAGAGCACAAGACTACGTTAGAACTAGATTCTCTGTTCCGTTTGCTGCACATCTTCGGAAAATCACTTATTTTTCTAATTTCCCATTTTACAGGTGAGGAGTGGCACTGGGTGTTTTCACAAAGCCCTTCCAAGACTACTGGGTAAGAAGCAACAAAGTACCAACTCCTCCCCTCCCCACAAACTAATAATACACTGGCCCAGAGGATGATTTTCTTGAGGCTGCCCAGCAAGACTGCATCTTTTGGACCCTTAGAGGTCATTTGCACAGCAAGTAGAGAGAAAATATAGACAAGAAGACCTCCTTAACTCTTATTTTATGCAAATCCTCAAAAAAGGATTATATCAAGTATTTTTTAGTTTGGCAAAACCAAGACTAGCCAGTGTTGAAAAAGCTACTAAAACTAGTATTTGATTCTTTAGAAGCTGTCTAATCACTGGGTGCACCTACACAAGATGCTTACTGCACAGTAAGCTAATAACACTGCACAGTAGTATGCCAGGTAAAAACTGTGATAATACACTACTGCACAGTGTTATTAGCAGGGGTGCACCAATAGAGATTTTTGGGGCTGATCCTGAAAGCTTATATTTAAGGAAGCATATCATCCAATACCAATCCAATACAGCTGCCTCCAGCTGGTGAGTCTGGTGTGGTGGAAGGCGAGGGAAGGGTCATATCAATGCCCCCCAGTGAGGGAGGGGGCAGGTGCTGCCCAGGTGGAGCAGAAGGCAGAGCCATGGCTCATG